ACACAGGATTTTCTTACTAGATGGTACCACTCCAGAATGCATGGGGGACAGGCAGAAGGTTACTTGTTCAGAAGCCCCCTATTGAAATCTCGCTGAAGAAACTTATTCCCAGCATGCAAGATTTCTGTGAACAGGTTTAGATGAGGGGTATTTTGAAGCAGCCCATCCCCCTTGGTGCATGGAGTCCTGTGAGATGACTGTACCACATCAGAAACTGCATGTTTTTCCTGGGTACATTTATGTACATGAAAATTATAACTTTTATATATATATATATATATATATATATTAAATATACAGTATTTACATACACTCATCTCGCTTTTGAAATGAGACTAGAAGTCCATTGATAAGGAGCCCTGTGCCGCATCCTCTCGACCCCTCACGTAGATTTCGCATGGAATCTCCTCCATCACCCGGTCTTCTATGACCTGTTCTGGGCACTCATGACCCTGTTTGAAAGTGTAACTGCTTTTTTTGAAGGTGCTATTAAAGGTCTTCATTGGCTGAGGCTGTGCAAAATCATTGCGGAAAGGAAGTTCCATTGAACTGAGGTTGGTCCTGCTTTGCTTTACCGTAGCTGCTTGAGAGCCACAGTGGTGGTCATGAATGCATCGCGAAGCTGTCGAAGAGCGCCTCATCTTCTGGTAGTTTTCAAGTTCTTCGGACAGGTCGGCCAAGTCGGCGGAAATCTCCTTGTCTCTCAGCGAGAAGAGCTCGTAATGAGGAGGATCGAACACCTCCTGGAAGCCGGTTTTGTTGAAAGTGGTTCTGCACGCCATCACCTTCTTCCGTGGCTGCTTTACCTGCACCAGGATTGAGATGATGAGAAGAACCAAGACAACCCCTGAAGTAATCCCAATTATTGTGCCGTGGGTTTTGGTGATTTGCTCAAATAGTCCCGTCTTCTTCTTTTCTGTAAAGGAACAAAGAGAAGAGGTGAGCAATTTTAAGCCTGTCACATTAAGCACATGGTTAGGGTCCCATTTACAAGAGCAAGATGATTTAAGCACTGCTTGAGAAATTTTGTAAAGAAAATTTAAAATCCTTCCTCCTCTCCAAAGTGGTGCAAGTAGTTGTGACACTGAGTATGATTCAGCACTGATTAAGCCACGGAAGGGGAAAACTTTCTCACTCAATTGAGTGAGTAAATAGACTGGACAATTTGGTGGGGGCCGAGAAGACCCTCACTGACTGCCACAGCATCCTGCCTCTAAAGAAAGGGCTCCATAAGAGGACTGCATCCAATATAAACCTGTTTCAGCACAAGCCACGTTTCCTACATGTAGAATAAAGCCCTGCTTTTCTGTATGTTCCTGCAGGTTGTACAAATGCAAAGTGTGCTGCCCCCAGTCAGCGTTACCTGTAGTTTAGTAAAACTGCTCTGTATCTTTAAGACTTGTTGCACCTGGGAATTGGAGTCCACAGTTAGGGGTCCCAGAAGCATCCCTCTGACTGGCTCATTAAGAGTAATTTCCTGAGCTCAGAGGTGCAAAGATAGGGGTTTTATTGTTCTTTTCCATTTCTTTGTCCTTCAACCCTTACTGCAAGGAGAGGGGAAGCCCATCTCTTTTCTCACCATGGCTATAGAACTGACCTAGATCACAAAATGTAACTTTCCACCCAGCTATCTGGTAGATTGTGAGTAAATGATCTTCTGAATGCGTGTGAAGTTAAATAAAGACGATTTAAGCTCTCCTCAGTAGTCGTGCAGTGACTCACACCTAGAGAGCGTCGGCGTAGCACAGCTCGCACTGGACCGGACACAAAGGAATGCAGTTTGTTCATTGGCAGTGGAAGAAACAAGATCAGAAGAGACATGTAACATCTGGGTATTCAGTAGATACTGGGCTTGATCAATCCACGAGTTCGAAGGCTTCAGAAGATGCTCCAGCAGTGAACAATCCATGGTATTTCTAAAGAGTAGACAAACTCACCATGGCAACCAACATAGTTGTGATCCAGCAACTCCCTTCCAGAAAATGGTATAGTTACACTGAAGACCTCTTCTTGAATTTCATCAGGGATATTCTCTAGTTTGGTGGTAGTTTACAGTTGATTTCACAAGAAACACAGCCAGGACGAAAATATCTATCCCCAGATGGCATTACGTTAGAGCAGGGGTCCTCAACATGGCAACCACGGGCAGCATGGCACCTGCTGACACTTTTCTTGGCACCTGACAGGTGTTTTCAGAAAGTGGGCGTGGCCCGGTGGTGCTTTTGCCCAGTAAAGCTTCTGATGGACTGTGCAGATTTTTAAAACAGTTCCTTTGGCAGCAGCTGCCCCCACAGCACAAGAATCGGCACTGTGTGACTGAGGGTAAGCTGCAGTGGCCACTTTGTGGCTGGCTCTGCCTCTTGCGGCAGGTATTTTGTGACAGCCGTTTTGTGGCTGTGCCCATCATGCTGTGTCAGAATTCCAAAGGTGCCCAGAGTCAAAAAGGTTGGGAACCCCTGTGTTAGAGGAGATCTTCTCTCTCTCACTTAAAGGCATTTCAAATGCTGTGTTAGAGGAAATATGAAACTGGAAACCTACTCTCTCTCTCTCTCTCTCTCTCTTAAAGGCATTTCAAATGCTTGTTGACTTGCACTTCTACTTAATTTTTAATCCGATATTTGCTAGAAAAGATAAGTAGATGAACCAACTGTCTGTGTTAATTCTTCTCGGAGTGTCACATGGCTGAATTGAGATGTTGTACTTAACTGTGACCGCGGAAAAATGTATATAAGCCTGGCATCTTGAGGAACTTCACTCCTCCCTCCTCACAAAGAAAATCACATTTAAAAACTAACTCCAGTCACCTGGGATATAGGAATGCAGATGTGCGGATTAATGGCCATTACAAACCTGTTTTGTTTTGTGGCAGGATGAAGAGAGGAAAACTAAGTCTGGATTAAACCTTGGTTTAGTATTGCGCTTAGTGGTGGTGTGGGGAACGGAACTGGTTAACTTGCTTTCGTATGTCACAGCTAAGCAGAGTAAGTTTTTAACTGCAACTCTCAGATCAAGAGAGGAAACCGAAGACTGAGATGCACACAGAAGTCTAGCAACAAGACGGATTTGTGAGCATTTTCACATTCTGCAGTTAAGCCCAACATCTGAATGCAGCCACAATATGTTTTCCAGCTCTGCTTACGCAGAGACACCTTGGATGCTTTTTGCAAAAAGACACAAATAACATATTTTCTCCCTAGACGGAACTTTTTTTAAAACATGGAAATAGGACGGTTGTGTATCTAATGTGATAACAGCCTCTTTAGATCTCATTAGCGGTAAATAAATAACATTGAATAATTGAATAATTTATTAGTCTGACCTCCCAAATGAGCTAATGGCCTACAGATGTATGTTGAAAGCAACACCCTGGAGCAGCATTACAGCACGTTAATTACAGTATACGCTTCTAAGCTAGCAGAAGGCCCAACATATATCAAAATCCCTAGAAACATCTCCTGCACTTACAGACCTCTTTCAAGACAGATGCGTGAATAACAGCAGTGTTCTTACTACACGTTCACATAACTTTACATATGGATGAGGACTGGTGAGAGAATTCGCTTTTTTAAAAGAAAATAATGTGGGAAGTGCCACACACTAATTCCTAGAACTTCAATGACCACTGGTTAGATCCACTGGTTCTTCTATGCATGAGGCACAAAACACACAGAGGGCGGAGGGCATGAAGCCCCCAGGCAACAGAGGATACAGCAGCAAACAAAGCGAGGGGCATTTCCCCCCCTGCAGCGGAGTCTTACCACTACAGCTTAATCGGGAGAGCCACAGACGGGAAGAGAGCAAATCTTCTAACTGCAGGAACTTTTCTCTCTCTTGCCTCTTAGGCTAGCTTTAGGAGAAAGTCCAAAATACCCTGTTCAAATCCTCTTTTAATCCCATTACACAGACCTTTGTGCACTCAACAGTGAGTTGTATACATGTAGTTGCATGCAAGGATTCTGCATATTTACATGCTAAATAGATGGCTGCCAGTGGACCAGGGTGGGGGGGGCATAGAAGAGGAAGAATGAGAGAGAGAAAGAGAAATCAGAAGGGAGAAAGTAGTCAAATACTGTATCTGGGCCCCGGTCACACGGGCCAGATAACGGGCGCAGAGGGGGGGGAGGTGTGGCTGTTCACCCCGGAGCAAAATAAAGCGCAGTAGCCCGATCACACGGTCCCCCGAGACTCCGCACTTAGGCTGTTCGCTGGCGATCACACGGCGATGCTGGAGTGTGGCAAAGAAGCGGCGTGGCAAGCATTTCGCGTTTATGCGCATGCGCAGTTCCGCGGAGCAGCACTGCTTTCAGTTACGTGTTTGTGCACATGGGCTTACGAAAAAACATCCGGTTTGTGACGGGACGTGGACGGGCGCCGGATGCAACGGGATACTAGCACTCCCGCGATCAGACGCCCGCCCCTGCCCCGCGTTTTCCGGATACTAGTGCACTTTTCGAGGTACTTTTTTACTGTGCATCTTCGGCGGGATGCCACGGGTGCGCTACGCTTCCCAGATGTTGTGGTGTGATCGCGCCCCGAAAATCCGCCTGACATTCGTGCCTTTAGTGCGGCAAATCCTCCGTGTGAACGGGGCCCTGGATAACTAAAAAGGAGTCTCTGGTTAACTGGGCAACGCATTTAAAAAGTCGCTTTAAGGTACGTAATGTGTGTAAAAACCGGAGATAACAGAGTGCCGTCTCAGGGAAGGCATTCCTCCTCCACTCTCTCTCAGGAATGAACACCTCTTCTGTGTTCGCTGCACGATATGCAGGCCTCCTCTAAAAACAAAGCCTGTCTTTAAGCACTTGTACTCATACTAGAAATAATGCCCATTGCGGAAATAAATACAATGGGATCTAGAAAGAGGCTCTGGGAGAGTGCTCACGCCCGCCCCTGCCCCGCGTTTTCCGGATACTAGTGCACTTTTCGAGGTACTTTTTTACTGTGCATCTTCGGCGGGATGCCACGGGTGCGCTACGCTTCCCAGATGTTGTGGTGTGATCGCGCCCCGAAAATCCGCCTGACATTCGTGCCTTTAGTGCGGCAAATCCTCCGTGTGAACGGGGCCCTGGATAACTAAAAAGGAGTCTCTGGTTAACTGGGCAACGCATTTAAAAAGTCGCTTTAAGGTACGTAATGTGTGTAAAAACCGGAGATAACAGAGTGCCGTCTCAGAGAAGGCATTCCTCCTCCACTCTCTCTCAGGAATGAACACCTCTTCTGTGTTCGCTGCACGATACGCAGGCCTCCTCTAAAAACAAAGCCTGTCTTCAAGCACTTGTACTCATATGTCCTTTGAACCACTCAGTAAAACCTGATACAATTAATCAACTAAAATTTTCTTAACCAGTGATAGATAGCCAGTCAGGAGGGCAATGCTCCCCCTCCCGACTACGCGGGAAGCCTCCCGATCAGCACCCGAACGAAGAATGAACCAAGTCCCAGGCTGTTTCCGGGGGACCCGGAATGCTGCCACAACGCCCTCATAGGGGAGGATGCCCAAGGAAGGGAGGGGGACGAGGTCGCAGGGCCGGACGTCAGGGATATGACCGCTGGAAGGGGGGGATGGTGGGTTGAGGAGCGGGACCAGAACCCACTGGAACCCAGGCTGGTGGCTAGGCTCCTTTAAGAAGTGGGTAGTGGGTGGAACAGGTGTTGCAGCCGAACAAATAGAAGGAGTTTGCAGGTGAAGCCGGGGAGGATGCAGGTGGTTACGGTTCAAGTAACAGACGGAGAGGAGGGAGCGAGAGGCGGCAACGCCAAGATCCACTCGAGCTCATCTATTGAACCACCACCATTGGGTAAGAGTGAAGTTAACTCTGCCAACAGGAGTCTGAGGCAAACCTGACCCTCCACTGCTCAGCAACATCCTGGATCCTATCCACAGCCGGCTCGACCCCTTTCTACAACCCGAAGGTGACATAGCCTTACTCATTTCCCTTCCTCCCTGATGAAACCAGCTTAAACTGATCTCTGTTCTGAACTAGCTCCTCTTCTGAAAACCACAGATCCTACAGTACCAACCCTTTCATTCTAGAGCTGTAAGGTCTAGGAAAGATGACATCTCTGGAAGAGGAATGATTAACGACAGCAAGACAGATTCACAAACTGTATTTGCTTTGATTAATAGAAGGTTACAGGATGACGTTTGCCACACCTTAGGCACTGAGAGTTAACAGCGGCAGATGAGAATCACGAAGAGATTTGATAGTACTTTCTCTGAAGACACACAAGATGACACTACTAGATTATAGCAATTTCCTCCATATAGCTGCTTAAAGAGGGGGAAAGATTCACCCAAGTTTGGGAAGAAAAGGTCATTGTTCTGGGTGGTGACAAGTGGTACAACCACGAATAAAACAAGACATTCAGAAGGAAGAAAAATAGTGAACTTGTCATCTCTTGGATATTAAAAAGCCTAGAACAACGTCCATATTTACAGCTAAAATACAAGGGATAATTTGTCTTCAACACTCTAATTCTGCAGCTAGAAAGACAGCACATAGTTTCAGCCACTGTACTTACGAATGCGAAGGTGCCATTCTGAAGTGAAAGAATATAGGCAGGAGAACCCGAATTGTTACCTAGAGCACTTTCCCCCCCAGAAACAAGCACTAACTAGGAGGAATGATTAATGCAAACCATATTGTGGCACAATGGCCCCGATGACCCACAAACACTGCTCTGTTCGGCCCTCCGAGGTATCTAGATACCCAGTGAGTGTCCCATATCCCCACCCAGTGACACACAACACTCTCTTGGTTCCCCTCTCTAAGTGGCTTTTCTTTCACTTCTCCTTTGGTACGCCACCACCAACTGTAAGTATAGAATAAGTAAGTTACCACCAACTGGTCATTTTAGGCATTACCCACCAAGGGAGTGTTTCCATTGTAAGACTCCACGTAACACCTGTGTTTCCCGCTACCCAATGCCTGGTTACCACAAGGACAGCTTGCTATACTTGCACAGTCGTGGGGGGAAAACCAGTTTTGCAACTGTCTGGCTTCCTTCTACTGGCACCCATTTTAAATAGCAAATTTGAAGGGTGGTCACCCATTTTAAATAGCAAATTTGAAGGGTCTATGAGGTATGGAGAACAGCTTTGAAGGTCTATGAGGTATGGAGAACAGCTACCAGAATTTAAAACAGGAAAGAATTTATGAAAAAATAAGATGTTCCCGCACATGCTCTCTGCACAGAAACAGAATGAGCCAGGAATACAAAGGAAAGATGTGAACACATGATCCTCTGTCCCTCAGCCCTATACATGCCCTAGTTGGTCTTGTTCTAAAGCTGTCTTATTAAACTTGGAAGTTTTTTGTTGTTCAGTCGCACAGTCGAGTCCGACTCTTCGCGACCCCATGGGCCAGATCTCGCCAGGCCCTCCTGTCTTCCGCCGTCCTCTGAAGTTTGCTCAACTTCATGTTCGTTGCATCTATGACACTGTCTAACCATCTCATCCTTTGCCGTCCCCATCTTCTTTGACCTTCAATCTTTCCCAGCATCAGGGTCTTCTCCAATGAGTGCTGTTGGAAAAGGGTGTTCGCTGTGAGCAGTGTGTTCTCTTGACAAAACTCTGTTAACCTTTGCCCTGCTTCATTTTGCTTTCCAAGGCCAAACTTGTCTGTTATTCCGGTTACCTTTTGACTTCCTACTTTAGCATTCCAGTCCCCTATGATGATGATGACATCATTTTTTGGTGTTAGTTCTAGGAGGTGTTGTAGGTCTTCATAGAACCGGTCCACTTCAGCCTCTTCTGCATCAGTGGTTGGGGCATAGACTTGGATTACTGTGATGTTGAACTTGGAAGTTAATGTGTTCTAAATGCTTCCTATTAACTGGGAGTCTCTGTACAGGCAGGCAGCCTTTTGTACCTTCCATGTGGCAATGGTCACCATCTAAGATGGAGCCTGACGTGGGAGCTCCCGCCTGCAAGTCACCCGCCACAATCTGAATCAGCCAATCAGCTGCACTGGCTCCAAATTGATACCGGGTCAGAGTCAAGGTTTTGGTATTAGCCTTCAAGGCCTTGAATGGTCTGGGGCCAGTGTACCTTCAGGACCACCTCTCCTGATATAACCCCCAAAGAGCATTAACTCTGGGGAGCAAAATCTCCTGGTGATCCCTGGCCCGAGCCTGGTGGAACTCTCTGCCTGGCGACATCTGTGCCCTGTGGGACCTGGTACAGTTCTGCAGGGCCTGCAAGATGGAGATGTTCCGCCAGGCCTACAGCTGAGGACAGCAATGGTTCACCATCAAGCCTGGCCTCCATCTCTTGCCCTTCCACCCCCCAGGAGGATACAAAGTGACATCAGATGCCTTCAGATGAACATAACGTTGCACTGTATTGTTTAATTGATTCATTCACCATCAAGCCTGGCCTCCATCTCTCACCCTTCCTCTCTTCCATGGGGAGGGTACAAACTGACATCAGATGCCTTCAGATGAACATAACGTTGCACTGTATTGTTTAATTGTTTCATTGCATTTGTTTAAACTGTTTATTGATACGCTGCTATATGTTGTACACTGCCCTGAGCCCTCCAGGGTAATGTGCATTTACAAAGCCTTGTTGTTTGGTATTTGCATGATACTTGGGAGCACTCAAGAACACTCCCTGGAGTAAAAAGGTATTTCTCCAGTATTACAAAGATTTGTTTGGAGAAAAATAAATGAATCTTGCTGTAAATGATTTACATGTCACCTGCAATTGATTTTAGTTACCTATGAAACTAACAGACTCTTCCAACTAAGAAATATAACATCATACATTAAATGCGTTTGTATGTTGTTGTTGTTTAAAATCAAACTAGGCAGCTTTGGTCGCACCAATGTTCAAATTCAGAAGCCATATACATAAAATAAACAGGGCAGCTTTCTGTGTCAAAGTTCATCATCCACTTTGCTTTCTTAAGGTTGGGTAGGCAGACTTCAGCTGTCCTCAGGCACAAACAAGGTGAAAGTCTTGGATTAAACATCCACCACACTCACCTTTGCAGTGGTTTTCATCCCAAGGATATGCACAGTTTTGAATGCCGTTGCAGACTAGAGAATTATTGATGCACATGTTGCTATGGCAAAAGAAGGTGCTGCCTGAGCAAGGAGCTGAAATGAAGAGAGAGAAGAAAAAAGCAAATTTTATGAGCTGCCCAAACTTTTTGAAATGCACCTTCAATATGTAATTACTTTATACTTTGATGCAGAAATTTAGGTCTAATGAAGACTGCTGAATGCTACATTTGGGCATTTTCAGAATATCTTCCACAGCTATGGCTTCAATTAATATTATATGCATTCAAAGCATCATAGCAGTACCGATTTTTCCCACTTATGCTCTTTTGGCAGCTTTTTCTTTTGAAGGTAATTTATAGTGAATTAAGCAAGTGGTAATATAGCCATGTCCTCACTCCAAGCCAATTAATCACACAGGGTCACCAACCTCCTGGAGAACACACACACTCTCTAGCACCTTTCTATCTCACCTTTTCTCCAAGTAGCCCTCAGTGGGGGGGTATGTGGTTCTTCCTTCCTCATTTTATCCTCACAACAATCCTGCGAGGTAGGTGAAACTAACTGGCCCAATGATACACAGTCAGCTTCAAGGCAGAGTGACCATTTCAACATGGGTCTCTGTTGCGGCAGCAGCTAGGGAGGTTCACTGATGGCTGCCACCACTCTGGTACGGGTCCCATAGCACCCACCCTACCCCTTCTTACAGGACTTTAACAACAGGTTTCCCCTTGTACGTGACCAAATGAGGCATGAGGACCCAGGCAGAATAACAACTACTTTAGATGAATACCAAGTAAGAAAAATGAGCAAAGTAAAGGCAGGTAAATCAGTAAAACGATAAATCCTAACGCATCTGTCTGCACAGTCCTAGCCTTCCCTAGGTACCTGTTCACAGTCTAACTCACCCTTTTTGGATGAGGAATCCCTTTGTTTGACGGCAGCAGCTTCTTCCAGCCCTGGTCCCTGCGAGGGAGCCCCCTCCCACTCTGGGAAAGGCCTTTTATCTCCTCTTCCCAGGCACCACCCTCTGTTCCCCTGGAGCCAATAGGCCACCCCGGTGTCTGTAGGCTGCACCACTAGGGGCCCAGGGTCACATGATAGTCTCTCAAATCCTAGTCCAACCGCTACACCACACCGGCTCTCTTTGTATTCAACTAAAAAGCCATTTGACTTTTAATTAAAAGTCTTGCTGTTTCTATCCTTAATAGTTAGACTTTGTCCTGAAAGAGCTCCGAATAGCGCCAACAGATTCAGAGGTACAGGCTTATTTGGAGATAACTGGCGGACAAGTAGGTTTAGATCAAAACGGTCAATCATAATTCCCGAGTCTTCCGGTTTTAAATGCCTGACCTATTAAATAAAGAAACCCAGTTTCCAAATATAGCATATCCCGAAACTCTCATCCATGACATAGGCTGCGGCTCTGCCCCAATTGAAGCTGCAGCACATTCAAAATACAGAGGATAAAAGCCTTGCTGCAAACGCGGTACACAACACCATAGAAGTGCAGCTGGCTTACAGCCAAGCAAGGTGCTGCAAGCGACAGCCGTATCTCTCCATTTCCTCCTCCTCTGTAATTTTCAGATGATGAATCTCACGCTGGGCAAGGAAAGCCTTTGCCCCACGAATCATGACACGGTGTTTTACATAGCCTGAAATTACACTAAAATAGTATGCTGAAACTACCTAGATTTACTGGAGATGCAGTGGCAGGAAGCACTTGTTACTCAATTCGCACCTCTCTGTTTCAAGGGGTAAACTTATCTGCTGATAAGGTCAAAACTCATCAGAGGTGTGGCCCAGGATGCTGCAGGGGTGTCTTTCTTCTCATGCCGTTTTCTCAGTAGAAACTGTAATCCCTCCACTAGATCAATATTAATGAGCCCCAGTGGAAAAGAAGATAGGTAGCCATATTGTATGTTTTTCCTAGGTAAAGGTAAAGGTCTCCCTTGCTCGAAAGCCAGTCAAATCCGACTCTAGGGTTGCGGTGCTCATCTCCGTTTCCAAGCTGAAGAGCCAGCGCTGTCCGAAGACGTTTCCGTGGTCATGTGGCCGGCATGACTAAATGCCAAGGCGCACGGAACGCTGTTACCTTCCCACTGAAGGTATTTATTTATCTATTTATCTACTTGCAATTTCTTGCTTTCAAACTGCTAGGTTGGCAGGAGCTGGGGCCAGAGATGGAAGCTCACTCTGTCACGCGGCACACTCGGGTCTCGAACTGCTATGCCACAGACCCTCTGGTCTGCAGCTCAGCTTCTTCACCTCTGAGCCACCGCAGCCCCTAACCCTAGGCTACATCAAATGCAGATCCCCAGTCCGGTTGTTGTTTTTTAAATTAATATTTTATTCATATTACATAATAACAAAATATATAAGCTTACCACCTGCTGGAGGGAAGTATACATAATACATAAACAAAATTATTGTTAACATAATATACATAGTTCAAAAAATTACTGTACAATATTCTATTACCACAATATCCCCAGAATAATTACAATATTAAATTATATTGTTTGGGGGAAGAATATTGTTAGAAACTAAAAACTTGCCATTCCTTGTTTTCGAACTGCTAGGTTGGC